CGAGTGTGTCTGGCTCTGTATTTGTATGTGCATGTTTGTGTGCGTCTTCTGGTGGAACCGACTTTCGAATCTCTTCATGCAACACTTTTACTCGAAATGGAAGTAAGCTCAACAATTATGAAACAAAAGATTCTTTAAATGTCAACTTGGTCACTTTTGGCCTATTGCCATGTCGACTGTTCAGGAGTGCAGGTTCGAGTCTGCGCAAATGGACAGATTTGAGTCCGAGAAGAGTGGACGAGCCAAAGTAGTTGATTGTTGGAAAGACGGTTTTCGCTCGTGCCATCGGCACCTTTTCCAGACAGAACGAATGGATGAGCAGTTCGTGTCGGATTTGTCTGCAAAAGCGACGGACGGAGGTGCTTCTTCGTCTTTTGCAGGCTCGAATGGCGAAATGATGATGGACAGCCGAGACGGTAGGTCCTTCAAGGCGGAAACGGACCATTTTTGTACTCGTTTTTCCCTTCTCCTCTCCATACTTGCACAATTTACACCTTTCGGCCGCGACAATCGAAATGGTCACACACATTTTCTGTTTACTCTAAACTGAACGCTCGGTTCTGCCAACCATTATTTCAGTCAACTGCTCCTCGATTGATGCCATCATTCGCGACTGGCACATCCTGCCTCGGAGAGCTCGTAAGAATGTGACAAATCTGTCACCTTGGCAACCGGTCGCCTGACGACACAGCAATTGGCCTTTGCTCTACTCGTCCGCCGGTCGGAAGGGATCGGCAGACCGTCTGGCCGCCGGACGGACGATCTTGCTTGAGCCGAAGCTAGCGTCAAAAGCTGTACCACAATTTGTGCCAGTCTCGTGGCGGAAAATCGTCTGCGTGTCGTCAACTCATTGCAGTTGCTTTGGAACCAAGTCCTGCCAACCGAGGCAGTGGGAAAACGAGGAAAAGTGGGAAAACGAAGGAAAGTGGAAAGACGAAAGAAATTGGGAATTGGTGGAAAAGTGGGAAAATGAGGGAAAGTGGGAAAACGAGGAAAATTGGGAAAAGGAGGAAAAAGTTTGATAATGAGGAAAAGTGGGAAAACCCGTAAAAAGCGCGGAAACAAGGAAAAGTGGAAGAACAATTAAACGTGGTAAAAGGCAAAAAAGTTTGATAACGAGGAAAAGTGGGAAGAAGAGGGAAAGTGGAACTAGGAGGAAAAGTGGGAAAAGGAGGAAAAGTGGTAAAACGATGAAAAGTGGGCAAACAAGGAAAAGTGGAAAAACGAGTAAAAAGTGGAAAAAAACAAAAAAAAGTGGGGAAACGAGGGAAAGTGGGCAAACAAGGAAAAGTGGGAAAACGAGTGAAAAGTGGAAAAACGAGTAAAAGTGGAAAAAGAAGGAAAAGTTGGAAAAATAGGAAGAGTGGGAAAAGGAGAAAAAGCGGTAAAACGAAGCAAAGTGGGAAAAGGAGGAAAATTAAGAGGACGACGAAAAGTAGGAAAACGAGGGAAATTTGGAGAACGTGGAAAAGTAAAAAAGTGGAAAGACGAAAGAAATTGGGAATTGGAGGAAAAGTGGGAAAATAAGGGAAAGTGGGAAAACGAGTAAAAGTTGAAGAAGAATGAGGAAAAGTGAGAAAACGAGGAAAATTGGGACAAGGAGGAAAAAGTGTGATAACGAGGAAAAGTGGGAAAACCCGTAAAAAGCGCGAAAACAAGAAAAAGTAGAAGAACAATTTAAACGTGGTAAAAGCAAAAAAGTGTGATAACGAGGATAAGTGGGAAGAAGAGGGAAAGTAGGGGAAGATCGACTTGTCCCGAGGCATCAGCTTCCGATTCGCGTTCTGCTGCATCTGTTTGACGTGGATGTGATGCTCAAGTTGGTACTGGCCACGAGACTTCCTCCAGCGCTTCGGCTCAACATGGGTTGAGCACATGTCCACCATTTGCTGGGCATCATCAGAGCTGAAACTCACTCTTGTGAAAGAAGAAGACTATCAGATTCTATTTTGCCTCTTCTGTAAGAAGCAAAGATGAATAAGTAGAAGTGGATATAAAATGGTTTGTCTATTTGTGTTAAGTGTGTGTGTATGTATGTGTGTTAAAGTGTGTAGGCAATGGATAAACACATTTTACTCATGCTTTCGCGGGTTAAATGAGTGCATGTAACGCGTTTCTTTCTCCGTTTGTGCGAGCAGACCAGGCAATTGTCGTCCACGAGACGAAGAAGATGACGAAGATTTCATACAATATTTCCCAATTGCTAAATATTAATTGGCCATTGTAGACCAGCACACGACAGAGTTTCCCACATCCCATCTTTTCTTCATTATGGC